AAATAAAATGTGAATCCCTGGCCCATCTTATGTTCCTTCCCTCCTTTCCTTTTCTCCGTAGCACTTGTCTTGTACTAACCTACAATTCACTTATTTTGATTTCTGTCTGTAAAACTCAAGCTCCGTAAAGATTGGGATTTTATCCCAGGACCTAGAACAGGGCTGGACTTCCCATATGTATAAATTTTGTGGAATAAATGAATTGAGCAAATGAGCCATTGCCATGTAGGGAGGAATGAGAGTATAAAGTGATAGTTTCTTAGGCTGAACCTAAGTAAGATAGTAATAAAAAGGAACTCACACACCTCCAAAGGTAAGATTTATGGGCTGCACGCCAAAGCCATAGGATCTGGTGTAGTTTCACCAACAAGGATTGCCCTATTTGGGTTTCAAATTTTGGAACTGTAAATAGAACATTTCTTTTGCCTCAGCTTCAGACTTCTGAACTATTTCTTCCCACCAATTTAAAAGAAATTCTAAGAATCCACAGTCGGAATGCGGGTAGGCAGAATGCTGGGAATCAAGCCAAATAATACTGAAAATGAAGGCCTTGCTAATATGGGAAGTTAAATCCCAAATTTACACAACAGTGTATTTCTTGGGGAAACTTCACAGTTCACATGATCCTGTGACATATAGTTATGAGGTGCCTGCCTGCCTCCTCCGTTGAACCATCTAATGAGCTATGTGTATATTATTCCTAGAGTTTTTCAAGTTTCAGAGTTTGACCTGACTTTCCCTCCCTTGCCTCGTTCTGACCAATGAACGTCAGGAATAATTATTGTAAGCCACTGCTGCCTACCCACTCAAGGCTCTGGGTGTCCTGGTGTCCAAATCACCCAGCTGAAGGAAGGAGAGACCCCAGAAAGGACCACTGTAGACCTCAGGCTGTAGCCATCACCAGTGGGTGGGTAGAGCATTCCAGGGCGTGGGGGCCTCACTTACTCAACCCCCACCCTGGAGAAGGAGACAACAGTCAGAACCCTGGTTCCCGCCCACACCCACCCCTGCAAGATTGAGCCTCAGCTGCCGTGGGTGAGGAGTTAAATTTAGTGCTCAATCACTTACATGTCTGAGCTGTTTTTATATTTATTTTTCTCTTAATGATTCTTCATTCTCTCTTTTGGCAGGTATGATTTTACACTGAACAATCTTTGGCATGAAAAAGGGTGTCATTTCATCAGATGTAAGTACTAAAGCAAACAGGTGGGACTGGTCCCAAGTTAGGGCAATTACAACTACGTAGAGCCCTCGACCCGCAGTCCTTTTAAGCCGCTCTTTTCAGTTCATCCTTCTTCCAAACTGCGCCCTGCTCCCTGCCTCCCCACCTCCCACCACCCCAAATCTGGGTGCTCTCTGCTTCCTTCATCTCTGGTCTTGGCTGCACCCCCACCCTCAGTTTGGGGTCACACTTGTCCTCCTGGCATTCTCTCCCATAGACTTCAAGTCGCCTCCACATCCTCACAGGATTTCCCTCCTAGGGTTCTCCTTTTCACAGCTGGGGCTGCTCCCCGAAGTGTCCCCACTCTAATTGCTCGCCACTCCTTACTTTCCTTAACACCGACGTCAGGGCTGCCCTAGAATCACTGTCACAGAAACCCCATCTCCGCTCCTCCCACCACTGCCTCCTCAACTGACATTTTCTTAAAATTCTCTCTTGGGACCTCATCTCTCAGCAAAGCACACAGTGTCACTCACAAATGACAACCCAAGCACACACCACTCACTGTGGCTCTCACTGCAGGCTCCATGCCCTGTATTAAATCAGAGGTGGGCTTCTGCAAGCACAGATGAGAAGCTGCCTTGCCGGGTCAGGACCCTGTGGTCTGGATTCAGGGTTACGAGAGTATTCCCCTCCTCTGGTGGTAGCTGTTACCTACTCAGTGTCCCATGTCAGCAGCTGGAGGGGTCTTGGTGTGTCTCAGCCCTTGATATCACTCCCTCCGTATCACTTGGAGCAGAATAACTCGGTGCCCTTATCTGGAACAGCCAGGGCCACCGCTGTGTGAGGCCACAGGGAAATCAAAGGCGGGTACCGGGGCTGGAGCCAGCAGGGAGGAGAAAATAACTTCCCAGTTCCTCTCAGACACTTGAGAGATCTTCCGGAGGTCTGAGGGAGGTTTTGAGTTTCCGCTGGTCCCTGAGATCTGTGACTGGTTAGAGTAGGGCCACCAGAGGAATAAACAGTGGTTCCCCTGCCCCCTAGGCTCAGCAGCCATTTGTTCAAAAGGAAGCTGTCCACCTCTCAGGCCGTTCCCACAGGTCTACGGATGCCGGGTCGGGAGGCTGCATCCTTGTCCCCAGGAGCTCGGTCCAGTGGTAAGTCATCTGTGTATTCAGCCAGTTATGACCACATTGATGGCTAGCATGGTTTCACTTTTGCAAATATTTATTTATATCCTTCGAGAAAAAGGCATGTCAGCTTGTCACAGGAAGCTGCTTCAAGGGGTGAGCAGACTTTTTAACCATATAAAAATCAGGATTTACATCCATTTCTTGAGATTTACCCACAGTAGTTGGTTCTCTTTAATTGTGTATTTTCTTGCATACTGTTTTCAAATTGACAAGTCATGTCTCTACCAAAAGAAGACTGTGTCGTGCCTGCTTCATTTCCTGTGACCCCCAGAACACTACAGAACAACACCTGTGTGCTTTAGTGACCAGATGGGGGTCATGGCTGCTCAGGGGAAGTGGGCGTGTGTGGAGAAATGTTTATTTTCTGAGATGGAGTCCTACCCTGGCTAAAATGAAGTGCCAGGAAAGGGAAGGCGGGGCTGTCTGGGCACTGGTCCTCTTTGCTGTTTCCTTCGGGGTACTACAGCTGTAGGGGAGGTAAAACCATCTCCCGTGTCTCCCCAGGACAGCCTGAAGATGGCTAATTACACAGAGGCACCAGAGGATGACTATGATGTCTTCATAACGGATGATCCAAAGGACAACGAGGCAAGACAATGTGACAAGTACGAAGCCCAGGTCCTCTCAGCCCAGCTGGTGCCCCACCTCTACTCCCTGGTGTCCCTGGTCGGTCTGCTGGGCAATATCCTGCTTGTGTTTATCCTGGTAAAAAGGAAAGGACTCAAACAGGTGGAAAATATCTATTTTCTAAACTTGGCAGTTTCTAACTTGTGTTTCTTGCTCACCCTGCCGTTCTGGGCTTATGCTGCTTCCCACGGGGGCAGTATTGGCGAGCCCATCTGTACCATCCTCGCTGGACTCTGTGCCATAGGCCTGTATGGGGAGGCACTTTTCAGCACCCTCCTTATTGTGCAAAGGTATCTGGTGTTTTTGGAGGTGAGAAGATCTTGCTGGACCACCAAGACAGTGCCTTGCAGCATCATTACAAGTGTCCTGGCATGGGTAATAGTCATTCTGATCACGTTGCCTGAATGCATATTTTATAAACCTCAGATGGATGACCAGGTATACAAGTGCACCATTAGCAGAGCTCCCTTCCTGCCGAGGGATGAGACGTCCTGGAAGTTTATTCTGACTCTAAAGATGAACGTTGTGGTTGTTGTTTTCCCACTGGTCATCTTGCTATTTCTCTATGTACAAATGAGAAAAACCCTAAGGGTCAGGGAGAGGAGTCGGGACCTTTTCAAGCTTGTTTTTGCCATAGCGGTTGTCTTCCTTCTGATGTGGGCACCCTACAATGTTGCGCTCTTCCTGTCTGCTTTCAAAGAAGACTTCTCCCTGCATGACTGCGAGAGCAGCTACAGCCTGGACAGAAGTGTTCAGATAACAAGAATCATCGCCACCACTCACTGCTGCGTCAACCCTCTCCTCTGTGTGTTTCTCGACAAAGAGTTTAGGAAAAACCTCAGGCACCTCTTCCGTCTGCGTATTAGCACCGCGCTTCAGCCCAACGAGGCGTCTGCACAAGGTCCGTTGAGAGACGATTCTGGCCAATCCACCCAACTGTGAGGTGGCATTCATCAATGGCAAGACAAGTAAATGCTGATTTTTGTCTCTTTGCACTGCTTTGTGTTTTTTATGTGGTTGTATGTAAAATAGGATACAGGAAGAAGGAGGGGGTGAGCAAACATTCGCTAAGCACTGAATTTGTCTCAGGCACTGTGCTAGACTCTTCACAACACGAGCTCCTTCCCCTCTCCCTACGTGTCTGGAGCGTGGATGGGATTCCACATCACTAGATTCCACAGAGGTCACACAACTTGAAAGTGACAGGACTAACACACTAATCCAGGTTCTCTTTGCTCCAGAATCTGTGCTTTGTCCAGCCTGCCCATATTCCAAACACTGGGCAACAAAATACATAAAATAAATATATTTTAAAGCATTTATTAAATGTATCTTAAGACAATTAATAATTACTTTTCAAATCAACTCCACCACATTTGAAGCAACCTATTAAGTTCTCTTGGCTACTTGCCACACTCCAAGTCCCCCACCCTGGGAGCACCCCAAAATTTCTGTTTCCCTCTACTTTATCTTCAAGGCTACAGAGTCTTAGAAAATTTTAAAGCCACAAAGACGCAAAATTAGGTTTAGAAATGTCTAACAAAATGAATTACTATGTCCTTTTAACCAGAACACATACTTGAGGCCTCACCAGCCTGTGACTACAAAATCGTCTCACTTCCTTTCTACAGCTGAGTCAGGAGAGTACGGCTCCCACCTGCCACACCAACAGAAGATCAACTTGTCACACAGGGTTATGTCCCCTGGGACCCTTTCAGACCTATAAATGTGGCTCATCCTTGATCCTAAAGCTGTCCTCCTGTCTCTGGTGTTCTGACCAGACTCCACAGTCACCGGTTTCTTGATAATCTTATCCCTGGTTCTTGAGGCCTCAAAGCCACCACTGCCTTGCTGATATGAGACAGCCATTGCTCGTGGCTACATCCTGAAGACACAGGACCTGGACTGACTGCCTCATGCTAGCCTGGCATATTGCTTACACTGGCGAGAATTGAGGCTTGGCACTGATACCTGCTGAAGGTCTAACTGGGTCACCCACTCTGGCTGCCCTCCAGAGTACCAGCTTGGCCATGCTCCCCTTCCAGAATCAGGCATTCATATGTTCAGGGACAAGTGAGTCCCTGTCCCTGCCATACAGGAAGCTACTTTCTCCCTAACTAAAATCACTGGGTTCAAATAGGGACACATGGAGACCTCCGACCTATTGAAAGCCCATCACTGGATGACCAAAAGGGTCCTTAATTTCTTCTTTGAGAATAATGGATGGAAACTTGCTGTATAGTGATAAAACCAGATGGAGAAAATATTGTTTTCCAAACATCGGAACTCTCACATACTACCTCGTAGGCAAAGACCTCCATTTGTGTTAGATGAATTATATGAAAAGCTTGGTAGGATGGTGGAGGGGAACCTCCAGTGACATGCTAGAATGATAATAAATGGCTCCAAATTAGATTCTATAGCAGTGAGTCTGGAACGTTAGCACACATCATCAGAACTGCTGTGTTGAAACACAGGTTGCTGGGCCTCCCCCAGTGTTTCTGATTCGGCACATCTGGAATGGGTTCCCTTGAACATGCATCTCTAACACATTCCCAGAGGATGTTGATACTGGTGGTCTGAGGACTTCACTCTGAGAACCGCTGTCCTAAGGAGAAAGAACTCAGCTAACTAAGGAGTTTCGTCTAGTGCTGAAGACAATGTATAACTTAGAGAAAGGGACAAATTGCTCAGGAAAGTAAAGGGGCTTGGCTCGGCACCTATAGCTCAACCGGCTAAGGCGCCAGCCACGTACACCTAAGGTGGCGGGTTCGAATCCCCAGCCCGGACC